TATGACAGAAAGCATAAGGCTGAAGTGAGTTTTCAAAGACCTGGCTCCACTCCAGAAGTCCCTCATTAATACTGTTTGCAAAAATCTGTGCAAACGGTAGATTTATGAACACTGTTGAGAGCAGGCATGGCTCTTCTCATTCACAGAGAGGAGCTTTAGTATTTCGGTCCAGCTGGTAAGCCTGAGTTTGGACTGTAAATTTTCATTTGCATCTATCATAGCATTGTGATTATTTTGGAATTGCGAGGCTTATGATTTCAAATCCACAAATCTGGCAGTCACATAAACGTGATATGTTTATTATCCCCAAAACCTTACCAAGGCCCTATCGAAGTTGGATTGGGGCAATTCTCCATTAAAGCGGGCACTCTTCCCATGAGTGAAGAAGTAGTACATTGGTATTTATGAGGAGCTGGCCTGAGATGCTGGTTGAGAAGTCAGTTGTAGAGTCACACTCTCTGAGTTGGCATTTTGCCTCTCTCGCTGACTAATGTTGGACCTAGGACACGCTTTAATCCCTTTGGGACCAAGTTCTACTGTCAGTAAAATGAAAAATAAGGTTTGGTGAAGATTAGATGAATTTTTCATGTAAATAAGAAAAATAAACCTTCCCACCTTGCAGACACATGAGATAGCCCCCTAGGACTTAGTGTTGACACACAATGGCCGTAGCCTAGTTTACCTCCAAACTTCGTCTACATTTTCCTTTCCTGGCTTGTTATGCAACCCCTTAGTTCCCCTAGCTCTAATGTGGTCTTGCTATAAGGAGCACATGAGAGTCTTGTCAATGTGATTTTGTTTTTAAAGAATTACTTGCTGTGTTCTATTTCATGCACTAAACATCTCTGCCCTTCTGTTCACTGAGGATTAATGCCCACAGATTGTAACAGAGGAAAGAAAAGAACAACACTGAGAGAGATAACGGACTGATGGAGCAGTGGGAGGGATCGGGATAAAGGGATAGGGAAAAAAAAAAACAAGGAAAGAAAAATATTTGTGATAGCAGCTGAACCAGCAGGTGATTGCGCTACTTTTAGCCACAAAATGACACCTCTCAACATTGTTCCAACTGGAGCCTTGATCCCCTGAAATGATTAGCAACAAATGGTTTCTTGCTTAAGAAAGTTTGTTCAAAATGTTCCACTCCACATTCCCCTCTGGGAGAGTTTTGGCACAACCTATGAAACTTGTTGGGAAACACCACAATAAAAAAGATACATTATTTTATCTCAGACTGCTTATCAATGCACAAGACTGACAAACAATAGTATGGAAAAACACCCTACTATCATTATTGTAAAATTGGGAAAAGAAAATATCCATAAATAAAGAGTAAATTGAGGTTTTCATGAATCATGACAAATTGATGGAAAGAAAAGAGTGCTAATATTTAGTGAGCGGCTACTGGGTATGACAGAAATTGTTCTCACTACTACAAAAATATTTATTCATTTCCAATAGATTAAAGGAATGATTTTTTAAGTGTGTGTTTGTGTGTGGTTGGGGAGACAGGGCTAAGGGTTGGGTGGCTATAAAATGGGTTTATGTACTTTATAAAAGAGTATCGTGGCCCGTATTAATTTTCCTGTGGTGGGGAAGCAATAGCTCTTTGGAAAATGAGGCATATTGAGAACTTCTGTAGTTCATTTTCTTACCTTAAAGCATTGTTGTTGCTCTCATTGAGGATTTTGGAAAATAGAATCCATCTGTTCTCAGTTCCTTGCTTTATATACAGGAGTTTGAACCAGATATGGTTTTGCCACTTTTTGGATATGCAATTTTGAGTAAGATATTCTTTGGAGCATATGTAAAAACAACCAAAAAAAAAAAAAGGATAAAATGGGCCTGGTGCAATAGCCTAGTAGCTAAATTTCCAGTTTGCATCTGCCTGGAGCCCATGTGAGTGCTGGTTTGTGTTCCTGCTGTTCCACTTCCCATCCAGCCCCCTGCTAGTGGCCTGGGGAAGCAGTAGAGGATGGCCCAAAGCCTTGAGGCTGTGCACCTGTATGGGAGATTCAGAAGAAGCTCCTGGCTCCTAGCTCCTAGCTTTAGATCAGCTGCACTCCAGATGCTATGGTCACTTGGGTAGTAACCAGCAGATGGAAAATCTTTCTGTCTGTCTGTCTCCCCATCTGTCTGTAAATCTCCCTTTTCAATAATAAAAAAGTAAATCAACAAATAAATAAAATTATAAAAATATAAAAAATTGAAAACCAGAAAAATGACATTGATTTTTTTCTTATTATTAACAAGAATAATTTTTAATAGATGCTTCAAAAAATTCTGATCCCTTACTCTAATATTCATTCTTGAAATATTTTCTGTTGTCTAGTTATTTTAATAAGTACTATAGACTCCACAAAATAAAAGGTACAATTGGTACCTTTATTATCTGTTAATTGTTTAAAATATTACCATAATATGTATATTTATAGAACTGGAAGGTGTTAATATATGTGATATTGTAATGAAGTTAGATAAGAGCAGGCTATGTACTGTTGAAGGAAATAATAGCTTTTAATCCTTATATCCCCCATTTCTATCTAGTATGGAGCCAGCTTTGCACTATTTAGTATGTGTTGTGAAAGGAATAAGTGCAAACAATACTGGTAAATTGCTCTAAAGTTATGCTTGTTTTATATGGTGCACACGAAAGGTAAATTAGTAGTGAGAGATCTTGCACTGGGGGTACAAGCTGGAATACAGTCAGACTGAGCTTCCTGAAATGTGGTGCCAAACTTCCATGCTTTAGCAAATAGCTTATGCTTCCCACTCGGTCTAGACTGAGAGGCACACCCGGGCATCTACAGGATGAGCACACGAGAGATGGTATTTCTCTCATAGAGCTGCATCCAACTCTGTTTCTTCTGCAAGAAATTTCTCTTTCCCTTACTGGAATAATATGTTTGGTTTATACTAATTATTCTGATTTTCTTTTCTGTTTGTCATATTCCATCCTCATTTAATAGAAAGGGCAAAACTTATTTCTCAGAAGTGTGTGTCATGGTGGGTGAGGCAGAGAGAGATCAGGTAGAGGAAATTCTGCAACAAGAAACAACTGTTGGGCCCGGCACGGTGGCGCAGTGGTTAGGTCCTCGCCTTGCACGCCCGGGATCCCATATGGGCGCCGGTTCTAATCCCGGCAGCCCCGCTTCCCACCCAGCTCCCTGCCTGTGGCCCGGGAAAGCAGTCAAGGACGGCCAGAGCTTTGGGACCCTGCACCCACGTGGGAGACCTGGAAGAGGCTCCTGGCTTTGGACTGGCATAGCATTGGCCGTTGCGCTCACTGGCCGTTGCGCTCACTGGCCGTTGCGCTCACTTGGGGAATGAATCATCGGAAGGAAGATCTTCCTCTCTGTCTCTCCTCTCTGTATATCTGCCTTTCCAATAAAAATAAAATAAATCTTTAAAACAATCAAACAAACAAACAACTGCTAATGCATGATGAATTACACATCTTAGTTCAGGCAGACACAATAGCAACAATCATAGATATGGGATTTTCTTTCTTAAATGTATTTACTCACCTTGACAGTGAGACTCAATCATTGGTAAAATGTTTTTAATAAATATACAGATAGAAATGGGCTGAGTTGAGTTGGAGGTTTTAAAGTGTTATTGACTGTATTGGCATGAATTTTTTTATAAATATTTATTTATTATTATTGGAAAGGCAGATATACAGAAAGGAGGAGAGACAGAGAGGAAGATCAGCCATCCGATGATTCACTCCCCAAGTAACTGCCAACAGCCAGTGTTACGCTGATCCAACACCAGCACCCAGGAACCTCGAGCCTCCTCTAGGTCTCCCATGTGGGTACAGGGTCCCAAGGCCTTGGGCCATCTTCGACTGGTTTCCCAGGTCACAAGCAGAAAGCTGAATGGGAAGTGGGGCTGCCAGTATTAGAACCGGAGCCCATATGGGGTCCTGGCATGTTCAACATGGGGATTTTAGCCACTAGGCACCACACTGGGCCCTGGGCATGAGTTTTATAAAGTTAACAGGAATGGAAGTGATGTGCATCCATCACAGCTGAGCGCTCCAGCAATCATCACCCCCACCTCTTTCTACTGTACCCATCTCTCCCCTTTATACTTTTCTGGGTCTTGCTTTCTTTGCGTCTATACTGTGGTACCTATAGTTGTAATAAAACCTATCATGTAGCATTTATTACTATGATGTTTGAAAATATGACAGACTGGGCCCAGCGGCATGGTCTAGTGGCTAAAGTCCTTGCCTTGAAGGCACTGGGATCCCATATGGGCGCCGGTTCTAATCCCGGCAGCTCCACTTTCCATCCAGCTCCCTGTTTGTGGCCTGGGAAAGCAGTCGAGGATGGCCCAAGGCTTTGGGACCCTGCACCCCTGTGGGGGACCCAGAAGAGGTTCCTGGTTCCCGGCTTTGGATCGGCACAGCACCGGCCGTTGTGGTCACTTGGAGAGTGAATCATTGGATGGAAGTGCTTCCTCTCTGTCTCTCTGTATATCTGACTTTGTAATAAAAATAAATTAATCTTTTTTTAAAAAGTTAATCGTGAGACAAAGAACATTTAAAAGATATGACAGATTTCTGATGTCCGTATGTGACTGTTTTCTTAATCCTCTGAGAGATTATAAAGGAAAGAAGGTTGGTTCAAGCTGCTATACTACAGTAAGCATCAATTAGGTGGATGAACAATAGGGACTCCTGCTCTGGATGCAGAAGCCTAAGACGAGGGTGCCAGGGTCGGGTTCTGTAAGGTGAGGAACCTCTTCCGGGTTGACTTTTTGTTAGGTCCTCACATGGTATCCTCCACCGTATGAGGGAAGTTCTTTAGAAGGGTGTGAATTCCATTTTTAAGGGCTACACCAACAAGACTCCATCAACTTCCCAAAGATCCTCTCTCTAGTAGCATCACATTGGGAATTAGATTTCAATGTGGGAATTCCGAGAAGTCATGAACATTCCATCTGTAAGCTGGGCATGTGTGAGGTGAACTAACAAGAGTGATCTCTCCCAGGAATGGAATCTGGCTGTGGAGAAGCTGGAGCGTGAGGCCCTGGGGATTCTGCTGTCAAAAGACCACGTGGAGAATGCACATGTACAGCTCTCCAATCAGAAACTGAATCGGCTTCAAGAAGAATTTGGTCGGCTCCTGGCAGAGAGGAAAACCTGGTTACAAAAGGCAAATGAGTTTTTTAATAGTGTTAACAAGGTGAGTGTAAGATCATATTTATAACTTTAGATAATCAGGTACACCACTAAAGGACCCATTACTTCAGCCGGCTGGCAACAAATTACAAAATCCATGCAGAATTTCAAAATTGGCTGCAGCAAAATATTTTAGAAGTATATCCCTGCTATGGCCACAATTTGGTTCTCAAAATTAAGATTCCATGCTTTGCTTTGTATAAAATTGCTTACTCTCATGATGGTTTTATCTTGGAAATGCCCTTGGTCTGTTTGTGCAGGCCACTCTGTCCCCATTCTGTGATGTTTCTCACGGAAGAAGAGTTATAACAAGATGTGCAGGTTAGAAAGGCCTTTTCTCAGTAAACACATGTGAGTGTTGTCTTCGCTGTGCAGAACATAAGGCTGCAAACCTTCCTTGGCCTGAGGACTGTACCTGGGTCTTGCGTTTTTTAAGTCAAAAGCAAACCTTGCTGTGAACGGTTGCTAGGGTTTCTTCAGATGGAGAAGTATTCTGGTTCCTCTGGTTGACTTATTAAATATTTATTATAACAGGCAGCCTTTTTGACTGATAATGTTCACCTATACACATCACTTGAGGAGGACTCAGTATGTAAAGCTGCTGGTGGGGTTTGAAATTGTTTTCTGCCTTTCTCAATATAAAATATTCCCTGAGTTAGTCTTACAGGAATGGTTTAATATCTTAACTTTTGCTAATGTTTCTTCAAAAGGACAATGTGGCAGGCAATGAATGAGGAACTCCTGAAAGCTCAGTACATTTTGTTCTAATTTCACAACATCATTGCTCTAAGCACAATGTTCTGGTCTACATCAAAGCAGTGACTAAATTGAACTTTTTACTAATAAAAAAACTTTTACAAAGGTCACAAAAATGCAGGTTCTAGAATTATCATAAAACTATTAAATATTATCTAATTATTACATGTTTGAGATAGCTTTTTATTTTACTTCTTTTTATTATTATCATTTTATGATACAGTTCCATAGATTGTGGGATTTCTCTTATCCCTGCCCCAATTCTCTCCCCCCTCTCTGAGTTCCGCTATATCAGCCCTATAAGATAGTTCTTCATACTCAGTCATATATCCATCAATATGGGCATGAACAGTGGCAGAGAGTCCAGCATCCTATTGTCAAGATGTAGTAAACAGTTGCAGTTGGAGTCCATGTTTGGAAGTAGAGATGCGTACTGTATTGTATCTGAAAGCAGACATAGAGCTGTTACTGAAACTATTGAGCTAAGTAGATCCTGTTAAGTGCTAGTTAAGTTTCCCTTTAGTGGTATTATTTTTTAATAAGAGGCTCATTAATTTGCATTGCATGTTCATTCTACAAAATAAGTAGGTCCTCTGCATGTCAATTAATTTTATTTCTAAGAATAAACACTATAGAAGACAGTGCTATGATTTCTTGTACAAGCTTTATGGTATGCAGCTTTGCAAAATACAGAATCTTTTCCTCACTCATTTACTTTTTCTGTTCTCATTATTTGGTACTTTGTAAAGCAGATTTTTCTTCCTAGAACCTTAGGAATAACTGTCATGAGAGACAGTACAAAGTGCTACTTTGTAAACTCATGCAATTATAAAATCAGGTCCACTCTGGAGAAGAGAACCCATGCTTCTTAACTTCAAAGACTTCTGATTTCCAGTTCCTGTGTTTCATCGTTGAATGCCATGACATGGTGATGATCCAAATTTGAAACCAGCTGGGATGTAGACACCCTATGGTGTTTATGGCCACATGGCACTCAGAAGGTTGTGGAATTCTCTCTTCCTTTTTAAAGCTTAAGGAAATAATTTCCAACTCCAAATTTTAAAAATGTAATGTGAAAGCAAATGGACATTTTTACCTCATTAGAAACAGAAATCTGGAGTGTGGAAAGTGGATGCTTAATCATGACTCAAAATGAATTATTCACCATATTATTAAGAAGTAATAAATCATGAAATTATATAGCAAGTAAATCCTTTAAAATGAAAGAAGAAAATATCTCATGACTTGCAAATGGCATTTTTCTTTTTGATTTATATTTTAGAAACTCCAAATTTAACAAAAATCTTACTGTTTTACCAATCATTGGTATAACTTTCAGAAATAATGCAAATTTAAACAAAGGACTTGACTTTAATAATATATAATTTCAAGTCCTTTTGAATATTTTTCTGATCTATCTGAACATTCTGTTTAGTGAAAGGGATATTTTTTCACATATATTTGATAATTTGTCTTCTACATGCTGGAGTCTTTGTTGGCAATTTCCTAATTGCAAGTGTGCCCATTCTTAGGTTAAGCATGCTCTCTACAATTGTGAGGGGTTAGAGATTTACTCTGCTTTCAAGCTGACATATTAATTATTACAGTTTTATGCATGCTGACATAAGTCACATCACTTGGGAATTTAGAGACTTGATTTCAGCAAGCATAGTAGCTGAGTGTTCTCATGGCATTCCAGTTTTTTGGGGGGTGATGCTGATGGGCCAAAATGAATATTTGTACCTGCAGCAGGAGATATCTGGAAAAGGAGCCCTAAACTTGGGGAGTCTCTTTTTTATACAAAGTAGTAAGCAAAGCTTGCTATTTGTCATAGAGGAAAACATTTCTTCAATCTGAAGCTTGCTAGCAGCAGATTCAACACTGACAAATGGCAAAGATAAAGAGTGGGTGGGATTATGCCTTCTTGGCGACCAGTAAGATGTGTCTGAATGCAAGAAACCATGAAGATCTAGATGATAGCATTGTGTGTCAGGTGGCAGAGGGGAAGGACTTGAGTACTTTTTCTAAAGATATTTTCCTTCAAACTCATTCTACTCCTAAAAAAAATATCCTTTTTGATAACCAACCTCTTTTCCTAAACTTGCTGAAGCTAACCTAATATGCTTTTTTTTTTCTTATTAATAAATTTTATTTTGACATTCTTTACATAGTTAATTAGGGTAAGAAGGTTCAAGGGCTACAGGAAAGTGGATAATACTAATGTTTTCCATATTGTTACCTTCATGTTTAAAAGGGGGGTATTAAGGGAGAATTTGTGTGTTAAATGTTAATGTGAAGAAACAGGTTAAATATTAGTGTCATGGGTGACATGAATGAGATAGCTGAAAGGTTAGAAAAGAATAGAATATATCACTTTTTTTAAACTTTGTTGAAGTTTAGTAGAGTAAAGAGGAGTGGATATCAACACTGTTCTGCAGAATAAGCTGTTGCCAGAAGGTTTACTCTATCATGGATACTCATGCTAACTCATGCTATGATTCTGACTCACGCATCTAGAAAATACTGCTTGGTCCATTTTTATTCCTTTCTGTCTATATAAGCTGGATATAGGGATATTACTGTTTCCTAGAGGAAAAATAAACATGAATTCTTTTTATTGAAGTTATTAACTAAATAGTGTGAATTGATTAAAAAAAAACAGTAATCCTTCTTTGGTTATTCACTTATTTAGTCAATATATATTGGACGAACCTTATATGCTAAGCTGTGTTTTAAATGCTGGAGCACAGATGAGAGAAAAACAATCAAAGAATCTATAGATCTGTACATTTCCCAGTATGTGAAATTCTGTGATTATCACCCGATAATTACGCAGTGATAGCAGTTGGCCCATTGCCTTTCCCCTGTGACCCCAGGAGAGCAATTACTTTTTAATTGTGCTGAGAGTTGACAACTATCCAAGACTCATGAGTCTGCTTCCCAGAGGAAGTGTCTGTAGTTATGCAACTTGAAATGGTGACATTTGAACCTGGAATGAGCAGCAGATGGCAATATTGGTACACAGGTCTTGGGAATTTTGTTGCTGATACTTGTTGTAAACAAGTTACTGGATTCAAGTGGATCTGGAGTTGTTCAACTCTAGAACTTGGGATACTTTGTTTTCTTTGTGGAAATTCATGCTTTGATGAGCTTATTTATTAGCAGCAATTGTAAGGATTAGCAACAAATACAAGATCTGATTGTACCTACTGGGTGATAGCTAACTGGAGAACAGGACTTCTAATTCCCTGTGCTGCTATGAATCACGAGAAAATGCTGATGTATGAACACTTGGCTTATTATAGTAACTCATCTCCATCCTCCCAAATTTCATCCTTTACAATTGCAGATTCTCATACTGTGTTTTTAATATAATCACAAAGAAGCTCTGGTTAATATGTGTGGATCATTCAAAATTGTTTAGGGAAGATGACCTAAATTACACAGAAATAAATACATACTATGTTTTCAGATATGTACTGCATAAGCCTGTGTTTATGCAATAGCTCCACTTGAACCAAAGCTGTAAAATGTGGAAGGTTGGCCATACACTTTCATATCCCATGCTTTCAGACACTGGGGAAACAACAGAGGAGACTGAAGCCAAATCTGGTTTGTGAATGTAGTCCAACTTTTGGATGCTTAGCATGAAAACAAAAGTTGTAGTTGCCAAAGAAACACTTTGAATCAACTTTGAAATAGAAAGCTTGTTATGGCTTCTCTTGTTTTTGACATCTCTTTTGAAACCTTAATGTCACAAAACGATGTTACTGCTTTTCAACATGTTTGCACTGATGTGAAACAATAACATACATAGCATCATTGTTGCGGATGAAAACGAATAATTAGCATGCAGTTTGGTGTGTTTTAATTTCTGTGTGTATGTATAGCATCTCATCAGTTAGAATTAACATTCCAGACCCAGATCTCGGCCACAATTAAAATCATTTACTTAGACATTGAGGGAAGAAATCTACTCAAGTAGAAGACCTAGAAAAATATCCAGAAGGAATTTGTTGATATGACACTGATGAACTTTAAAATTTAGGGTAATTGCTAATGGATATCAAAGAAAATGTAATTGCCTTCAGTTTCATAATCCTTCAGCAGCGTGTCTTCAGTTCCTCTAATTGAGAACAACTTTCTGTTCTCTTTAACACAATGCAAATGATTGACTCTTCCTTTTTCCCCTTTTCTGTATTTGCATTCCCTGCTGTTGTCATGCCTCATATTGGTATTTGAAAATTA